GAAAGAGTGAGGCACATGGAAAGAAAACAGTGAGCACCAGGAAGGATCATGCTGTTCCTGGGAATACAAACTGCAGGCTTGGTTTCTGCACTACATGTGGCCGTGCCAGGGCCCTGTGGGGGCAGTGCCTGCTCTTAACCCTTTGTGTTCTTAAAAAGCAGGCTTATTGCCCGATCCTTGTAGCCCTGTGGGCAAGGCAGGCTGCGTGGTCGTCCCATCCCGCGGGACAAGCAAGCAAGCTGCTCTCCCAGAGCCCCCAGCTCAGCCTCGTGCCCAGCACGCAGGCCAGCCCAGGTAGCAGGCTGAATTTGAGGTTATGAAGGCAGCTTGTTTAGACCTGTGCCCGGGATGAGGGATGGAGCTAGCAGCGTTTCCTAATGCCATCTCTATTACTCCTGTAAAAAACTGCCGTGTAAGCAGTCCAGCCCAGAGATTAGGCACCAGGGCAACCCTCACCCCCAGAATCAAGCCTTGAAATCCATCACCAGGGTCCAGATGGGCATGAGGCACCTGACTCCATCGGACCCACAGCCATGGCGTTGGCCTGCGGCAGCAGCTGCAGAAGAGCCCCGGGCACGTGTCCCTCTTGCAGCAGCTCCTGTGGCCCTGCTGTGAGGACAGACCAAAGTGGGGAAAACCTGGGGAAGAGCAGACCTTTGAAGGTTTGGGCTCTTAGAGACTCACAAAGCTCTTGTCCAGGAGCTTGTTGCCACCCTGGCAGGTCTCTTGGTTGTTGTCAGTGCCTTCCCAGGACTATACACTGTCCTTGACAGTGTGGCCTGTCATGGATAGAGGGTAGGCAGGTCAAACTGGTTCTCTAAGCTGGGGGATTGTGGTGGGCTAACCTCAGCTGGAGATTATGGTCCCTAATGCAAAAGGCACAGCAAGGTCTGGAGGTACTAGGAGAGCGGCTGAAGGAGGATCTGCTTGCCATGCTGAGGCCAGGTGGATTCTTGGGGACATCCTGAGGAGTCTTGGTGAAGATACCACTCCACACAAAAAAAGCCCTAAGTAAAATAACTCAGTAAGCCATTATCCAGCCAAAAGAGACTGCTTGCAGGAGTTTGGGAGGGCCAAGAAGTTCTATGCTTTCTTAGGCATCTTTTCCCAGTTGAGCCCGAGCTTGTGGTACTCTTTCCTCCTGCTCATCTGCGCTTTCTGGGAGGACCTATGTCCACCGTCTGCCACTTGGAGAGTTCAGACCTTCGATCCTCCTTGCAGCTTTCCCCTGCCACAACCCTTTTAAGAGCCTCTTCATGGCTTGTTGCATCGGCATTTGGGTTAGCACCCAAGAAATCCATCCAAAAGAGGAATGGCTGCTGGGTGGGGACACCCTTGGGTGTCAAGGTGGAGGCTCAGAGGGGAAGACAGCCTGGGAGGGCTGTGCCCTCCCTGTGCCCCCCAGCCCTGGCAGCATGTGTGTACTCCACAACCAGGGTGGGAGCAGGGGGAAAAGTGGGGCTGGGGGCTCCTGTAGCAGCGAGGGAAGGGAGAGGGGCCTGTGCCAGGCGAGCAGCAGAAAGGGTAGGTGCTCTGTGCAAATGAAATGATTGCTGGGAGTTCTCTAAGTGGCAGATAATAGTGGCATAATTTCTTCTAAATTATTTCTAATCACAGCCAACTACTGGTTCATGAATGAAGCAGTTGTTAATTGTGACTTACAAATCAATATCTTGGGAGTTATTGCTCCAGTGGAAGCAATGCTAGCAGTGCATTTTCAGGGCTTCTAATTGAATTGCGGGTGCATGGCCAGGTCATTTTTGGCCTGAACTGCAGATTTTTAACTGTTTGGTTTTTACCAGTTCCAGACAAGTAGTGATTTTCTCCTGATGGGGGGTAAGACCTAGACATGGTTTTGAAACCAACTGTTCCTCTGCAGCTGTACAAGTCTTGGATCTGGAGGGGACCAACTGTGGGGCTGGCTCTGAATGAGCAAGGCCAGCTCCCCTTTTCCTGGCATGTTGCTCTCAGCCCAGGAAGAGACACCAGCTCTTTGAAATCTTTCTCTTAACAGTGTTCATTGCAGAGGGTAAGGACACATGTGCATGTTGGGAGTGCTTATTTCTTACCCTGGTGCTTCTGGGGCACATTCCCTAATTCAAGCAGATTGTGGCCCTGGCTGGGGTGTGCTGGCTGGGTGTCTCTAGGGGTAGCCCGGAGGCCCTGCCCCCAGCAACACTGGCCGAGGGGCCAGCTCTTGGGAGTCGGAGGCTCTTGGGCCACTGAACTGTCTAGTGGGAACGTCTGTGGGAGCTGGGCTGTGTCTTTGTGCATTTTGTGTTTGCAGGAAGGTGTTGGGATTCACCAGAAGCAGGGCCTAAATTCTCTCCCTGGCAATAGCTTGGTCTGTGGCTTGAGCACTGAGGGCAATTGCCTGCTGTGTCGCAGCCTCCCGATGTGTCCTGTGACATCCCATGGTGACCCCATTTCAAAGGGGGGGGAGCTGCGGTCTGGCAGAATCTGGGACTTACTTACATCCTTCCCATGTTTGTGGAAATCACAGGGCTGGACCCCTTCTGTCTCAAGGCACAGGGCAAGATCTGCTCTGCTGCTCTCTTGGGAGGGGGCTGGCTGGTGCAGCACGGGGAAGACGACCATGTGCTGGAGCAGCTTCTACCTGGACGCTACCCTAAAGTCTTTCCTGGGGGTCTGGCAAGGCTCTGTGGCACCTACGTGCAAGGTGGCCAACAGTGCCACCAGAACAGGGATGACTGGTGCTTCTCAGTCTGGGGTAGAAGGTTTGTCTTTGAGGTGCCAGCACCTGAATTGCCTGTTGAGCCTGCTGAATATTTCTGACCTTCGTCAGGGCAGGTTGCCTGCGACTGCTGTGCTTAAAGCAGGCAACTCATTACCCTGACTTGCTAGGTTCATTTGGTGGAGACCCAGCAGGAGCTGTGAGCTCGGTGATGGGGAAATCCTCTTGTACCCAGGCTGAATGTAGGTCCCCTCTTGGGCCTCCGAGCTTGTGCAGAGACTGCTATGCTTAGGCTCAGGATCTGGCCTTCACATCGGAGACATCATAGTCTGGAGAAGTCGTCACTGCATGGGTCCCCCAGTCTGGCAGGGAGGGGCTGTGCTGGGTCTCCTGGGCTCCTTGTTCCACCTGAGCTGCTGTATCTGAAGGCTTCCTGCTCCTCCTGCCCTGGACCAGCTTGCCCTGGCTCTCCTTGCCTTAGGAGCTGCAAGGGCCAGTGACGTGCTGAACTCAGTCTCCCTGGCCCCTGTGGGACCATTCCCCTGGCTGGCTAGAGGAAGCCACCAGTCCCTTGCTGCCCCACACCAGGCAGGGGCAGTTGGACCTTTCTTTCCCAGTGTACTGGAATCGGTCGGGGAAACTGTCAATGGTGATTAAGGAGAAAGTGCAGACTCCCTCCGTCACCAGCTGTCTGTGCTGGGACAAGCACTCCCCAGTGCTGGGGGAGACGCCGGGAGCCTCCTGCTGCCTCCGGGTGATGTGGTGGAAAGATGAGTCCAGAGCAGAACCCTGTGCGGGTGCTTCCTGGCCGTGCCCTGTAGAGCTGAACTCCGGGATCCCTGGAGCAGGGTTTAACTGTCAATCTGTCCTGGCAGCAAGGAGCAGGGGCCCACACCCGTGGAGAGGAAGAAGAAAGGGAAGAGGAAAAATGAGATCCCGGTGGAGAGTTTGGAGTTGGATCAAGATCTCCTGAGCCCGTCTGTGCAGAGCCCGGAGGAGTCTGCTGAGTCGGCTGACAGCCAGGTACATCCAAGCTGCAGACTGGTTGGGCTAGCTGCTGGTCGGAGAAATCCAGGCACCCAGATACATCTGAGCAGGCAGAACAGCTGGGTCTCAGGGGTGCAGCTCTCAGTGCTCTCAGCAGTGTGGCCTGTAGACTCCAGCCCCAGAGGGGAGCCACTAGTTTATTTCCGCTGATGGCACTAGGTGCAGTGCAGACTGCTGCCCTGTGCCAGAGAAGAGGGAGCTCTGCACATTCCTCAGCCTTGAATTCCCTTCTCCACTGTGGCTTCTGGCAGTGCCTTCAGCGCGGGACAGTGCAGGGAGGGCTGGCCGGCCCCGCAGGGCAGGGGCGCTGTGCATGTCTCTGCAGGGCTCCTCTGCTCTTGGGCTCAGAGACAACAGAGCTGCAGTGCCAGGCAGGCTCCCCTTGCATGGAGCAGGACAGCTTTTTTGTATGCTTGTGCACTGTGAGCAGGGCCCAGATTTCTCCTAGGGACCCCCATGTGTTGCTTTGCAACCTTCTCTGGAGAAGCGTTGTCTGGCGTTCATTCCTGCCCCCATTGCTGCCTTTCAGCCTCAGACCTGCTGAGATCCCTGAGCAGTAAGACTGGGCCCTGCCTGAAACATGATTCAGTGCGCTCCCCAAGGCAAGGCATGGGCATATGCAGGGGTGCAAGGGCTGCGGGGGCATGCAGATCGGACAAGGGCAAGTGCTCTGCTCCAAGGTGCTGACGGAGCCCTCAGCAAAGCAGTGCTAGAAACTGCTATAGATGTTCAGCTCTACAGGGGCTTGTGTCCAGGTGGCTACCGGTTCTTCATGCCACCTCCAACCCACTGGCACAGGGGGAGGTCTGGAGATGAGGCAGTCCTGAGGCTTTTTCTCCACCTGCGCCTGTTCCTCATGTCAGGCAAGGGGGAGGCACTTGGGTTGCCTGTCTCCCCAGTGACTGCCTTTCTTGTCTGGCACACAGAAACGCCGCTCAGGACGCCAGGTAAAGAGGAGGAAGTACAACGAGGACCTGGATTTCAAGGTGGTAGATGATGATGGCGAAACAATAGCTGTGCTGGGAGCTGGGCGAACTTCTGCGCTCTCCGCCTCCACTCTGGCATGGCAGGCAGAGGTAGGGCCAGACATGGGACTGGGAGGAAGGGGCCTCCTGCCTCCCTCAGGGGTGCCTCCAGGGTGTCAGTACCACGGTTTGAGGATATGGAGGAGGGTGGGGGATTCCAGCACTAGGATGGGGTGGGAGTGCACATCTCTAGGAGGGTGCAGGGTGACTTTGCATGGAGTATGAGTGCACAGAGGGACAGTCAAGAGGCACGTAGTGCTTTGTGCAGCTGAGAGGGACTCGAGAAGTGCAGCCCATTCTGAGGCCATGCGCCCTGGGCCTTCTGGCAGCTCTGGCCTGGAAAGGCCCACTGGGCTCCCATGTGAATGAGCTGGTGTAGGTAAGCCTTGGTCCTTGAGCATCTTCTGGTGTGCTAGCCATAGCCTTGTCTGCCCCATGCTGGCCTGTCCTTTGAGAATGTTCACAGCTTCCCATACTCCAGATTCTTTATTTCCCCCATGTTCTGCCCTTCAGCAGTTCCTCTTCCTCCTCACGGTTGTGCACCTGCTGCTCTGCTGGCTGGTCATGTGAGTCTTCTGCCCTGTCACTTAGCAAAGTTGGTGCTGCTGCTGCTTCATAGCTCTGTCCCTCCCATCAGCTGTGCTCGCTGTTGGTCCACCCTCTCCGCTCCTGCTAGGGGCTGTGGGACATGTCATGCAGCCGGAGCTGTCCCTGAATGCATGGCTGACCCACTGCCCATACCCACCTTGAGCTCCTGTCCATGTAGCTCTTGCCCGTGAGGTTAGCCTGGTATTTTAACTGTGCCAGCTGTGGGCTTTGTAGGTGCCAAGTCATCATTTTCTGCCCGTATCCTTGATCTTCATCAGTTCCTCTGAGTGTAGGGATCCGCAGCCTGACTTCTGCCAACCAGCCTGATCTGCGGGGCAGCATGGCAGGGACCAGCTGGAGTCACCCCACCTTGGGCCCCACTGCCCTGCCTCCTCTGCCCACTGCATCTCTGGCCTCCTGGCTCAGCTCCTGCCTGTTGGTCTGCATGTCAGACACCTGCAGCTTTCTCCCTATCTCTAGTCGCTACAAAAGCTGCCAGATATTAATAATGGTAACTAATTGTTTTCATTAGTGTTCTTGTGTTCTTCTTACTGTTGCTGAGCCAGTAAGCGTGACCTGGCCTTATGCTCCCTGCCTTGCCTGGAGGGGCTGCTGCGTACCCCATGGGACATACTGCCCTTTCTCTCACTGCTGAGGCTTTTTGGCTGCTGCTTGGGGCCATGTCCCCAGCTGGGCTCCCAGGAGTGAGCTGATCAAGTGAGATTTTCAAAACTGCAAGTGGGAATGAGTTGCCTTTGGCATGTCTCCATGCTGCCAGCCTGCTGTCCTCACCTCTTAGTCTTGGACTTCCACCTCAGTTTGTCCTGCTCCAAATGAATTATTAAGGCTGGTATCTGAAGGCAGCAGGGCTCTGTGCTGAGGGACTGCTCTGGGCTCCTGCCAGCAGGCTCAGCGCAGAGCCTGGCTGTGGCTGCTGCCAGGGCTGGGATCAACCCTGTGGCGCTGGAGGTCAGTGCCTTTCCTGCCATGCATGGAACTGAGTGACATGGGGACATGTTACGCCAGCAGTGCAAGATGGGAGTGCTGGGCCTGCAGGGTCTCTTCCCCTCTACCTATCTCAGAGCTAGGCCTCAGAGTTAGGCCTCAGAGCTACTCTCCCCATGGCCTGAACTTGCAGTTTTCCTCCCTGGACCCTGGGCACGTTTCTTGGCAGCTCTCTGGGGCAGTGCACAGCTCCTCTGGTGGCCCTCAGGCTGCCGACAATAAACCCCAGACCTCTGTAAGCCCGCTTGCCTGCGGGTCAATGTGGGAGCTCCCCAACCACCAGGCTCTGGAGGCTACTCTGATGGCAGTGCTGTGCTTGTCACTATGTTCACACAAACTCTATGTGGCCAGTCTCCCAGGTGCAACTGTGCAAGCGATGTGTGTCAAACTGGGGCTCAGGAGCTCTGGGGTGAGTGGAAGGGTCTGGGGAAATGGGCACTGCATGACTGGCTGCAGCGGCAGCATCTCTGTGTGCTTCCCTCACCCCTGTGGCCCTGGCATAGGGCAGAAAGGACAAAAGTTCCCCTATGGCCACAGGACTGCAGCTTAGGTACCCAGATGTATCTACTCTTTCCTCTTCTTGCTGTGTTGCAATGCTGGGTGCTGTGCATACGTGTGGGCTCAGCATCCTCCACGGCACCAACCACAGTGGGGTAATGCAGAGGCAGCAGGTCGGCTGAGAGCTGAGACATGGAGGAGGGTGCTGCAGGCCCCTGGCATGGCCTTGGCTGTCCCGGACCCTGTTGGGTGAGTGGTATGGGAGGGAGTCCTTCTACGTGCCCTGCAGGGACACAGTGTCCTGGCAGCTGCCCCCTCCTCAACCTGCCCCGTGCCTCTCTTGGAGGGGCCTTAGTTGGAGAAGGAACATCCCAGGGCTGCTCTACCCAGTGGCCAGGCTTTGTCCCCATCTGAAGGAGACGAACACAGTCTTCCTCCTTTCTGCTCTGCACTTTGCTTTTTCTCCTGCTGCTGTACCATTTCCCAGCCTGGACAGAACTGATATTTCTAATGCTCAAAAAAGCTCCAGACGTTTTTGCTGTCTCGCCTCTCCCCTTAATCTTTTCCTGCCTCTCCTGCTGCAGCACAGACAGGCACAAGCCCTCAACTTGGCTGTCAGTGGTGCTGATCCTGCTGCAGAGCATGGCCAGGAGAGACGGGGGCCCCTTGGCCTCCCTGCTTGCTCCGTGCCTTGGGTCTTGGGACTGGAAGCTGGCCAGTATCAGGACCACCTCCAGCAAAGCTTGTGTGCTCAGAGCAAGGATGTGTGGGTTGAGAGCCCATGGGTGGCCAACGGAAGGTCTCTGTGGCCTTGTGGGGTGATTTCCTCATGGCAGGCCCAAAGCTGAGTGGCTTGGCACAGAGAGCTACGGGGGGCAGGGTGTGGAGCTGCCTCGTCTCCCTTCAGGAGAGGGCATGCAAAGGGAAGGAGGCCAGCAGTTCGAACTTAACCTGGGAGGAGCTGGATTGATAGTGGCGGGGCTAGGGTGCTGCTGCTCACGTCCCCCTATTTTCAGGCTTCCATGACCCACATGTCCCTGCTGGCCTGGGCATGGTCACTCCGTGGATGGGTCAGTTGGGTCTCGCTCTCTTGAGCGTGCAGGGCTAGTGCTCTCCTGAGAAAGACCCTGTGGCTCAAGGGGACAGAAAGTGAGTTGGGCCAAGTCCCTGCTATCCACCAGCTGAGCACAGAAATGAAGGCTCCCACTGTGGCCTACCCCTGTCCTAGCCCTACCTCTCTGGTCCACATTGGTCTTTCTCTGAGTGATTCAATTAACCCAGCAGAAGCAGGGCTGAATTTCTGCCAGGTGACCTGTTAGAGGGGCTCAGCTGCAACCCCAGAGTAAGGACTCCCCTCCTCTGTCCCAGCTGCTGGCTGCCGAATTGTGTGGCCCTGGCTGAAGTGGCACCAGGCCAGAAGAGTCTGTCATGGGTGAGTGTAGCTGGGCTGGCAGCATCTGGACGCTAGCACCCAGAAAGGGTTCTCCAGCCCCCGCTCTCCCAGCGTCCTGCCATGTTGGCATTGCCTGCCCGGCTGGTAGGTTGGGAGAGGAAGAAACAGCCAGCTTTGTGCTGGGAGGGTGCCAGAGGCCAAATCATACAACAAGCTTGGAAACCAATGCTCCGGTTTCCTCCCGGTGTCCCCAGGAGCCTCCCGAGGATGATGCCAATATCATTGAGAAGATCCTTGCCTCCAGGATGGTGCAGAAGGAGGTGAGTGACAAAGATCTCAATGGGAGTGAAGGTCCCTGGGCAGAGGAGGGATGGGCTCTGGCTGCCTGGCACAGTTGGGTCGTGGAGAATAGCAACACTCAGCACTGTTGTGTCATTCCTTCCACCTCCTCTTTGCAGGGTGCTGAGAGGGGGATGCCCGGAGTGTCACCTTTCTGGTTGGGGATCCATGTGGTACCTGGCCTGTCCTGGGCACCAGAAAGCCTCTGGAGAGGAGTTGGGGCTGGTCTGGTCCCCAGGAGATGTTTGAGCCCCTTGTGCTCAGGTGTGGTCTCAGACCACACTCCCCAAGGCCACTGAGCCTCCAGGGCGGGAGCCATGCTGAATGTCATGCAATCCTTGCTGTCCTCGGGAATCAGCCTGCCTGGAGCCTTTTGACAGGCTGGAGGAGGCCTGTCTGGACCCAGGCTGCAGGAGTCGCCCCCTCTTTTTTACCTGGGCTCTGGCTGTTGCTAACTGTCCTTCCCTTGGTTTCAGGCTCACCCCGGAGGCCTAGCGTATGAGATGGAGGAGTTCTACGTCAAGTACAGGAACTTGTACGTGTAGTGTTATGCTCTTTGCCCGGTGGTGGTGTGGACGCAGGAGTGAGGGGCAGACTTCTCACTCAGCCCGTTCTTGCCTCCGTCCCATCCCCAGCTGCAGCCCCAGCTTCCTTGCCTCACTGCTCCCATCCTCCCAAGCCAGGCTCTCTGCTGGTGTGTGGAAAGCAACAAAGTCACTGCAGCTGCAGTGCTGAGTCTAGGCCTGGACCCAGGCCATTATTTTCTCCAGATGGGGGCTTCACATGGCAGGCTGTGAGCTGGATGCTCTTTGGGTTGCTGGGAGCTCCCTGCTTGTCTGTACGGCGGATGGGAACTTTGCCCACAGGCTTCTATCGTGTTTTATTGATTTTTCCTCTGCAGCTCCTACCTTCACTGTAAGTGGGCAACTCTGGAGGAGCTGGAGAAGGACCCCAGGATCTCTCAGAAGATAAAGCGTTTCCGGAACAAGCAAGCTCAGATGAAGCATATTTTTACAGAGGTGAGATCTGAGTGCAGCAGGTTGCCATTCTCTTCCTCTGACACAGCTGGGCCTAGTGTGGTGGCTGAGCAGGCCGAGAGCCAGGCACAGCCTCTGACATCTCTCCCTGCCCAGGTGAGACCAGCTCCACAGCCAAAATCCCTGGATGGGGCTGGGCAGTCAGGGCTCCAAGTGTAGCTGCATCTGCCCTGCTTGAGCTCTCCCGTAGGCCAGTGAGCCCTCAGTGCTGCCCAGAGCCCTGCCCGTGCCCTCCCGCTGACGCCGCAGCTACGCCAACCCCACTGTGGCAATGTCCAGGTGAGCAGGTGGGGCTATTGGAGCCAAGGAGCCGTGACAGTGCCCTGAACACCTGTGGTGTCACCGGAGGAGGCACGGTCAGGGTGACAAATGTCACTTGCTTGGCATTGCTTGCCCTGGAGTGCTGAAGCAGACCATGAATCGTAGCCTTGGGGGAGGCAGGGCAGCATGTGGGGCTGGAGGTGCCTTCTATGTTTATTGAGGAACATTCCTCCTTATGGTGGAGAAGGGATGCTGCAGGAGAGAGGAAGCTATAGGTACTTGGGCTTATGGGCCACTTCTGCCTGCTCCACTCGATAAGCAGATTAATCTTGTTTAATATTGAGGGATGCTCTGTAATTTATCTTGCTGCTCTGGAGGCAGTTGTTAGATCTCCTTGAACTGCCCCTCACAAGTGTAAATCAGGCCAGTAGGCTATGCGAGTTGCTCCATGGATGTGGATGCACAACGTGGAAGGGTTCAGATTTCTCACTCCTGAATCTATTTGGGATCTTTCTCAGGAAGCAAAGAAAAAGCATGTGTTTGAATGCGCTGTACCATTAACAATTCAGCAAGAAGCAACTGCTGTTTCACTTGACTAGCTGGGGCTTGGAGGAGCCCATTGCCTCTCATTCCCTAGCCCTGGACGTGTGTCTGTCCAAAGGAGCACTGCTAGTGTAAAGCTCACTCCTCCACAGGCCTTCTGGTGCCCCTGCTCTGGTGTCAGGATGAGCCCTTGTCTCATGAATGGATGCTGCTGGTGTTGCCTGTGACTGCTGAGCTGGAAGCGTGTGGAGGAGAGAGACAGAGGGAAAGAGAGCAAGGCCTTCTCTTTGGTAGACGACTAGAGGTTCATTGCGGGACAGCTGGGGGGGCCCCCAGGAGGTGCTGCGTGTGGCTCGGCACTATGGCAGTCACAGCTCTGGATGCTGAACATAAGCTCAGGCACACAGCTCAGGAGCTGTGGAGCACACAGCTCAGGCTTTGTACCTCGAGGCCATGTGGGCTGGGGCACGCGTTCCTCCCTCCCAGCAAGGGCCACGTGGAGCCAATGGCCACTCTAAAGCAAGGAGTTTGCCTTCTGCAGGGCTCCTGCGTCCTCCTCTGTCAGAGACCTGTTCCTATGGGCACTCCAAGTGCTGAACTCAGCAGCATCCTGGGGACAGATGTGCCGCAGCTGTTTTCTCGTGCCCGCCATCTGTTTAACCCTAGGATCACCTTGAACCTCTCTTTCTGTTCTTTGTTGTCACAGCCTGATGAGGATTTGTTCAACCCAGACTATGTGGAGGTGGATCGAATCCTGGAGGTGGCTCACACAAAGGACCCTGACACCGGAGAGGTGAGTGGCTGCCTCACTTATTTGCCCTGCGGAGGGATGGAGGCTCAGCAGGATTCTTGGACCCTGGAAATGCATTGCATGCAGTCTTTGACAAGCCTGAGACCTTCCCAGCGTCACACAACCAGAGTCCTGCCCAGGGGCCATTGGGCACGGGGAGATGACATGTGGGCCCCTGACCGTTCCTGTGACTGACTCTCACCCGTGGCCTACGGCCAGGTCCTTGGCCTGACCTGTTGGTGAGCTCTGCGCTGCTCTGCCAGCCTGTGTCTCCTTGCGCTACAGGAGGTGACTCACTACCTGGTGAAGTGGTGCTCTCTGCCCTACGAGGAGAGCACCTGGGAGCTGGAGGAGGATGTCGACCCAGGGAAGATTAAAGAGTTTGAAGCCCTCCAAATCCCTCCAGAAATCAAGCACATGGTAACGTACCCAGAGGTAATGTACCCGACTGGGAGCTCGCTGCCCTGGAAGGGCAGGGATTGCCTGTGTTTTGCCAAGATCCAGCAGCGCTGACCTTTCGGGCCCTGGACCTTCAGTGCAAGCCCCATATCTTTCCCTCCAGATGGGCTAGCAGGATCTGAGGGTGGGATACTGAGGCTGAGACCTCTCTATGAATCAGCTGACTGTCGATGTCTGTTTTGAAGTGTTGTCCTGAGGTGCAGTCCCAGAAGTGGGGCCTGGCCGCACGGAGCATTGGCCTCTTCCTCTCCATGGATCTTGCTCCTGCTCTCTCCTAGGAGCGCCCGGCATCTGAGTCTTGGCAGAAACTGGAGAAGTCCCGGGAATATAAGAACAGTAATCAGCTGCGGGAGTATCAGCTGGAGGGAATGAACTGGCTGCTTTTTAACTGGTATAACAGGTAAGGAGGGGCTGGAGCCTTGTGCTCTCACAAGGAATCCCTCTGATAGTGGGGCCTCAGCGCAGGCACAGCATACGCTGTCATGGGAGCACCAAGGCCAGGGCAGCAGAGCCAATAAGCAGGAGCCTGACAGCAGCCAGTGAGACCTGCCTGTGCTGGAGCTGACAGGCAGCAGCCAGAAAAATTGTATTTGTTTTAGCTTTGCAATGCAACCTTTAGGAATGTTTCTCTCTGGTAAATGCTGATGCGGTTTGGAGATAGTTTGGGTTTAGTGAGGGGTTTGAGATACAGCTGAATTTTGGCATTGGTCAGACTGCTGGTGACCCATTCTTGTGGCAGGAATTCATCAAGGCTATCAGATAGGTCTTTCACTGGCTAGCGTGCACCCAAAGGCATATTTTACACTAACTTTGGGTTCATCATTTGCGAGTGAGTGGGTGATGTGGCAGTTTAGGCGTCTTGTAGTGCTGTACTGATGCCGCAGGGTTGCAGGTCTCCCCACCATTCACTTTGCAGGGTAAGAGAGGTGCAGGTGGAGGTGACCCGTCAGGTGTCACATCGGGGAGTCAGTGGCAGAGTGGTTCCTGCTCCTACAAGGCATGTTAACGTCCCCCGTCCATCTCTGCAGGAAGAACTGCATCCTGGCTGATGAGATGGGGCTGGGGAAGACAATCCAGTCAATCACCTTCCTCTCAGAAATCTTCCTAATGGGCATTCATGGCCCCTTCCTCATCATTGCACCCCTCTCCACCATCACCAATTGGGAGAGGGAGTTCCGCACCTGGACGGAGATGAATGCAATCGTGTACCACGGCAGCCAGATCAGCCGGCAGATGATCCAGCAGTATGAGATGGTGTACAGGGACACACAGGTGATTCACGCATGCGGTGCTCCCAGCATGCATCCTTCAACCCTGGCTTTCTTTATTTGGGAAGCACTGGGATACATCCCAGTGAAGCTTGTGGTTCATCTAGAGAGGGCAGTGAAGCTTGTGGTTCATCTAGAGAGGGCAAGGTGATCTTTTAAGACCCCTTTGCTGGCCTGGGCTCCAGAGTGCACTGTGTATGGGTGAAGAACAGGCCCAACTCACACAGGAAGGGAAAAATGCAGCAGAGCCCCAGCCACAAGTTTTGACCAGGCTTGCCTGTCTAGCCCAGAGCAATGTCTGGGTTGGAGAGACACAGCCTGTGGCCAGCATGTGAAGGCCTGAAGTAACCTGCCTGCTTCTTGAGGGAGGTAAATCAGAGAATCCCAACTACAATTCAGTACTGAGAGGGTGGCCAGCCTGTGTGGACCAGCAGGGATGTCTGTCTGCCAGGATCCAGCCAGTGTTCTGCTGCCTTGCAGGAGTCATGCGCTGCCTCTGGTTCTGTCTCCACAGGGTAACCCTCTCCCCGGGATCTTCAAGTTCCAGGTGGTTATCACCACCTTTGAGATGATCCTTGCCGATTGCCCAGAGCTGAAGAAGATCCAGTGGCGCTGTGTGGTCATTGATGAGGCACATCGCCTGAAGAACAGGAACTGCAAGCTGCTGGAGGGGCTGAAGCTCATGGCCCTGGTGAGCACGTCCTTCCCAATTTCACGTGAGAGCAGGGTGGACCAGAGGTGGCAATGCCTAGCAGTCAGATACCACAGCCAGCTTCTTGGGCCCTTCACAAGGGCTGAGAGCTCCCTGTCTCAGAGGGGAAACTATCTATCTGACCCATTAGATCACTGAAGCAGTGCCAGTGGTGGGGGGCTGTTTGGTGGATGAGGCACTGATGACCTGCATCTGTCACAAATTCCTTTTTGCTGAAGTGGGACATTAGCCCACATGTGGTCAAATCCCTGCGTGTTCATGTTCCTCCTATCTATAAGTGGGACATTAACCCACATCTGGTCAAATCCTTGCGTGTTCATGTTCCTCCTATGTATATGCACTCCCTGGCAGAGCACTACCCAGCCGTGCAGCATGAGGCAGTTGCTGGCCAGCAGTATGTTGTGTCCTTTGGCTGTGATATGCCTTCTACCCTGTGGTCAGCATGGTTGCAGTATTGAAGCTCTTTTTTCACTGCTCTGCAAGCATGGGACCAGTCCACGCCAGAGATGGGTTGCGGGACCGTGCATTGTGGAAAAGGGATCAATGAACTGCCCTAGGAAGTGGATTTGGGTGTCCATCTCCTTTCCTGCACTGAGAGAAAGGAAGGCTATTTGCACCTCACAGCCGTACTCAGCTTCTGTCAAACTTGCCTGCAACAGAGCCAGGCCCCCAAAGGTTATCAGTCTGATGTCTCCAGTGTTCCCAAAGACCCTGATGTTCCCTGCTGGCCTTGTGGCTTGCACAGGTACTTGCTGGGTTGTGAGCAGCCTGAGGCAAAAGGGAGTTGCTGCTGGCCCCCCTTCATAACCATCCTTTGCGCAAGTCCCATGGGAGCCTCCCAGAGACCTTATATTTGCCCTTCTTTCATAGCTGGTGAGCCTTGGGAACATTAGGTCTGGCAGAAGGATTTGCTTGAGCTTGTTAGTGAGCACCCAAGTCACCAACTCTACCAGCACAGAGAGGCTGGTGAGCCTGGGAGGCAGCACCCAGCAGCGCCTGATGCTGGAGCCCATGGTGCTGGCGCATGGAAGGGAATGCGTTCTCCTCAAGGGGCTCCTCCCTTTCCCATGCTCACAGCTCTTTTGAGGGATTGTCTGGAGCTATGTCTCCTTTTATTGTACATATACTTACATGGAGAACCTCTAATAACAGCTCTTCCTTGTTCCCAGCATGCGGTTGACACAGTCATATGCCTCTGCTCATTTTGGAGCACTCTGTTCTCTCTGGCCCTAGCAGCAGGTTTCTGATGCTCCTCGATATCACAGGTGGGGAAATCAAGGTACAGAGCAGTGATGTGACCTGCACTGGACAGAATCAGCAGTCATTTCCAGAGCACCCGACTTCCAGGCTGTCAGTGCTATGCCATGCTCCCCCTTGTGCTACTACAGAGCACTGGAGAGAGAAATCTTGCCCCCAGGGGCACTGAGGCCTGGGCTTTGGTAGCATGCCCATCTACACGCCAGGACAGTCCTGCCTGAGGATCTTGTGCCAGCTCAGGGGCCAGGGTGTGGGGGCAGTGTGGAATTCTCAGTTTTGGCTGTTCTTGCTGCACAGAGCTAGATCATGCATCCAGGGGAGAGACTTGGGAATCATGAGATGGTACTGCACGGCACCAGTGGGCACCCTTTCTGGGAGTACACGTGCCTCCAGGCCACGGAATGTGTTTGTAGGGTTGGAAGACAAGGAGCATTGCACTCATGTGGCCTCTTGGACCCATCCAGAGGGTCTGAGCCTGTTTTCTGTATACACGCAGGAGCATAAGGTGCTGCTGACAGGGACCCCCCTGCAGAACTCCGTGGAGGAGCTCTTCAGCCTCCTGAATTTCCTGGAGCCACAGCAGTTCCCATCAGAGACGGCCTTCCTGGAGGAGTTTGGGGACCTGAAGACAGAGGAACAGGTACCAAGAAGGGCCCTAGAGGAGTGAGGCTTGTGACTATTAGCACAGGCCATTGGAGCATTGGGTCACCAGGCCAGCTCCTTTCAAGGTGCCCTGCTGCAGCCCTGGACTCAGCTGGGAGAAGCTTTGGAGAGAGGAGACCAACCTGTGCCAAGGCCACAGTCTGCTCCCCGCCTAGCTCCCTTCTTCCCCTTGCATGCCTGGGCAGCTCAGTACATCCTGCTTTTCCATCACTTCCTGTCCCTGAGAAGAGCAGGAGCATAGCGGGAGTGAGAAGGTCCAGAAATGCATGTGTCAGTTACCCTATCAGGTTCACCTGGGGAACTCTCCTCCAAAGTTGGACCTGAGTGCAGGTCGCTGAAAGCAGCACAGTCCTGTGGGCTCTGCTGTTGCCATTAGAGTGTCTGGCTCAAGGGGAGTTTTCACAAAGATTGTGATCCTCAGAGAGTGAGCCCTGGAGTGCATGGCCACATGGAGCAACCAGCATCTCAGCTGCTATCAAAGCTCCCACTCCTGCTCCTTCAGCAGACACATTCCCCCATGGCCTCCTGCAGTCAGTGTTTGCATATGCCACGTGACGCATAGGATGCGCTGGGACCCAGGGGCTTTTGCTGTTGCAGCATGTCAGACAGGCAACAGTTAACACTGAGTGCTGGAGAGTAGAATTACAGAATCACAGAACAGTTGAGGTTGGAAGGGACTGTTAGAGATTGTAGTCCAAGCCCCCTGCTCAGGCAGGGTCACCTAAAGCACCTTGCCCAGGACAGCTTTTGAATATCTCCAAGGATGGAGATTGCACAGCCTCTCTGGGCAAACTGTTCCAGTGCTCAGTCACCCTCACAGGAAAGAAGTTTTCCCTTAGATTCAGATGGACTTTCCTGTGTTTCAGTCTGTGCCTGTTGCCTCTCATCCTGAGAAGAGTCTGGCCCCCTCTTCCTAACACCCTCCTTCAGATATTGATATGCATTGGTAAGATCTCCCCTGAATCTTCTCTTCTCCAGGCTGAAGAGTCCCAGCTCTCTCAGCCTTTCCTCATATGGCAGATGCTCCAGTCCCTTAATCATCTTAGTAGCCCTTCACTGAACTCCCTCCAGGAGCTCCATGTCTCTCTTACACTGGGGAGCTCAGAACTGGACACAGCAAGGTGTGGCCTCACCAGGGCTGAGGAGAGGGGCAGGATCACCTCCCTTGACCTGCTGGCCGTGCTCTTCCTAATGCAGCCCAGGATACCGTTGGCCCTCTGAGCTCTGCCGTTCAGCCAGTTTTCAGTCCTCTTCACTGTCTGCTTGTCTGGCCTGTACTTCATCAACTTGCCTATGAGGATGTTATGGGAGACAATGTCGAAAGCCTTACTGAAGTCAGGGTAGACACCATCCACTGCTCTCCCCTCATCTACCCAGCCGGTCATTCCAGCATAGTAGGCTATCAGGTTGGTAAAATGAACAGGCTGGTAGAAGATAAACTGTGGAAAGAAGTATCACCCTGCAAGACAGCTGCAAACCCAGCCCTTGACTGAGAAGTCCATCTGCTGGCTCCTCTTCACAGGGAGAAACCAGCCATGGGGCCTCTGGTGTAGTCAGCAGAGGTGCTGCAGATTTCATGGCCCAGGACCAGTCATTCATGTGCCTGCCCTAGGGAAGCCATCCCCTAAGTTGCTCTGGTTCTCAGCAAAGCAGTTGCTTTAGTGTTCTGGGCTGTTGACCACTGGGCCGCCGGTAGTGGGTTTCCAGCCTGAGGAGGCTCTGGTGTTGCAGGCCCTTCTGCCAGGTCACCATGTGCTTGCAACGCAGGGAGGGCACTGAATCTCTGTGCTTGCTCTGGCAGGTGAAGAAGCTGCAGTCCATCCTGAAGCCCATGATGCTGCGACGTTTGAAGGATGATGTGGAGAAGAATCTGGCACCCAAGCAGGAGACCATCATTGAGGTGGAGCTGACCAATATACAGAAGAAATACTACAGGGCTATTCTGGAGAAGAACTTCTCCTTCCTGTCCAAGGGCGCCAACCAGCACAATATGCCCAACCTCATCAACACCATGATGGAGCTGCGGAAGTGTTGCAATCACCCATATCTCATCAATGGTGAGGGCTCTGTGCAGGTGATGTGGGAGGGCCTGGTCTCACTGCACACGTACTGGTTGCTGGCTGCAGAGCCCACGCAGCTTCGCAGCCAGCTCTGGCCTTAGTGCTCTCTGCTGCTGGTGTGCCCATGCATCCAAGCGCAGCGCAGGATGCAGTGATTTGCCTTGCAGCTCTCATGGTCAGCCCAGCTCGTTTCAAATGCTGCTTGCTTGCAGTCAGCAGCAGCCTCAGGGTCTTGCCATGCTCTGTGTAGAGCTGGGTTTGGGGGGCATCCTGGATCCTGGGATGCTGGAGAGGAATCCTCTCCAGCATCCCAACCTGGCTCACTCTGCTAGTGCAAGCTGTGAAGAAAGAGTAGAGTCACAGAAGTGAAGGGGCAGGTCTCTAGTCCAGCCTCCCACTCACTAGATCAGGTTGGCTGCATGCGATCTGTTTCTTGTGTGATGGCTTGCTGTTGCCCTGACAGGAGGCTGGGGGCAGCTGCACTACCAGTCCACTCAAGGGGCAGAGCAGGGGCCCTGCCTACAGCTCACTTTCCTTCTCACCTGGCAGGAGCAGAGGAGAAGATCCTGGAAGACTTCCGTAAAGCGCACAGCCCAGAGGCACCAGACTTCCAGCTTCAGGCAATGATCCAGGCAGCCGGGAAGCTGGTGCTAATTGATAAACTGCTTCCCAAGCTGATAGCAGGTGGGCACAAGGTGCTCATCTTCTCCCAGATGGTGCGCTGCCTGGACATCCTGGAAGACTATCTCATTCAGAGGCGGTTAGTACAGGCTTCAGCATTCACCATGGCCCTTCCATGTCATGTCCTTCCTAGACTGTAGGTAAAGAGCAGAGACAGCCCAGGGAGGGGTTTTGGCCTTTCTGTGCCTATGGACCAAAGAATCCAAGCTACAAGCTACCTGCTGGTGGGTGCAGAGACCCCCAAAGCTACGCAGCTCTGACCTGTTTTGCATTGCCCAGGGCTCGTCCTAGGAGTGACCAAATGGAAATAGGCCCTTCCCTTGGTCCTGGTTCTGGCAGGGCACATGAGCCCTGTATCCCTACACAGAGTGTGGGTTTGTGATGGTCGTGCCATCGTAACAGGAATGGCTCTTGGGATCAACCACAGTGTGTACAGGCTGATGGGGACTGAGCTTCCATCTGTGCGCAGGTCCTGCCAGCAAACCCAGCCTGTCTGCATTCCCACACAGAGCCTGAGGGAAAGACCAAAAAATGATCAGTAACTGTAGCCAGTTCCCTGCTCTCATCTCTTCCCCTCTTGGAGCAGATACACCTATGAGCGAATTGATGGGCGAGTGCGCGGGAACCTGCGCCAAGCCGCCATTGACCGCTTTTGCAAGCCCGATTCGGATCGCTTTGTCTTTCTCCTCTGCACCCGGGCGGGTGGGCTGGGCATCAACCTTACCGCTGCCGACACCTGCATCATCTTTGATTCAGACTGGAACCCACAGAATGACCTCCAGGTAACGGGCCAGGCTGTGATGGCCCCAGGGCCGCTTGCCTTGGGGGAGCGTGAGAGAGACAAGACAGCTAGCATATCCCATAGCACAATATCCCACAGCATATCCCACAGCCAGCAATCCCATAGCACAGCCACCATCACTCATGCCAGCCAGGGAGAGAAGGGCAGCAGCACCCAGCCATGCTGGGCATGGGGTGCAGCACTAGGAAAGCCGGTAGGAGTGCAGGCTGGGGGAATGTGTCATGGGGGGTATCCTGGCTGCCAAAAATAGTGTGGCTCTAAAGGCACAGGTGACTGCAGACCAGGCAACACTTTCCCCATGTCTGGTATTGGAGGATGTGAAGTGTTGGGTGTCTCCCATCTGCAGAAAGCAAAGGCTACAACCGAAGTCCTGTGTGCTTGCCCAGGAGTGCACGGGTGTCAACACCCATGCCACGCAAAGCTGGTGCTAACCAGTACCTGCTGGCATAGCCACTGCAGATCAGCTGCAAGCACTTGGTGAGGGGTGCCCTGGGAGGTGGGAGCAGACTGTGGTGCTGGTGGGTAAGTGGTGGATGCTGATGGTGGGTGCTACAAGCCAAGCAGTCACCATGATACTGGGCTCACTGTGTTTGAAACTGTGTCCTCTGCTGTCCCAGGCTCAAGCTCGCTGCCACCGGATCGGGCAGAGCAAGGCAGTGAAAGTCTATCGCCTCATCACCAGGAATTCCTATGAGCGTGAAATGTTTGACAAGGCCAGTCTGAAGCTGGGCCTGGATAAGGCTGTGCTGCAGGACATCAACCGCAAGGGCAGCACCAACGGGGTAGGCTGGCTGTCAGAGTGGGACTGGGTGGGAAGCTGTGCAGGAGAGCTCTCCTTCTTCCCCTGCGACTTGTTCCTGTGCTGACTCTGTGGCAGGGGGAAGCATGCAGGGCTATGTCCACAGGTGGGGGACAAAAGCCTTGTACTCAAGGTGGGAAGGATGCAGCCTGCCTACCTAGGCTCAAACCTAGGGATGTGTGGGGATTGGTGCTGTCACAAGGACACCAGAGCACCTAGCTGGTCCCTGCCTAGCACAGGACACTGCCTAGCACAGGCAGTGTCACCCTTGCCAGGGCCACCAGTAGACATAAATCTTATCAGAACTAGCCTACGTCCCTTGCCCGTCTGCTCCGCCTGCCCCTCTGCTACCAGAACTGAGGAGGTCCAAAGCCTGCCTGGCAGCTCTCCTGCCCCTTGTGAGAAGAGCTTGCTGGCTGTGTTGGCAGCTCACCCAGTTCATTGTAGCTGTGCAAGCCAGTTTCAAGAACAGTATGCAGCACTGAGCAGAGAAGAAAAACAGAATGAGGAGAGGAAGAGGCTAGGTACCTGCTGGAGGAAGAGCAAGTCACTGCCAGGTTGGAGCAGATACCTGGGCATGCTCTGGGGGAGGAGAGCCCGGTCCCGCACGCTTGTACTGCTGCTGTTTGGCCTGGCAGGCCTTCCTTGCACTGCCCCGGGGTTTGAGAACATGTGCAGTGCTGTGTCTGGGTAGCAAAGACTGAACTCCCTGAGCAACATTTTGAAGTGACCTCTCTGTTGTAGCGGTGGAAAATCTGGGCTGACTTGGGGCATCTCTGCCCTCCCTCCTGGGGCAGAGAGAAGAGCCTTCCCCTGTTGTGCCAGTGCCCAGGGCAGTTGGCATAGGGTTGGTGATGCCCTTGTGTCTTGGGCAGGTTCA